AGTGAGAATGGCCAGACTTTGTTTCTTATACTTTCATCATGTTATTAGGAAGGACCAGTCCCTGGAAAGGGTTATCATGGTTGGTAAAAGTAAAGGGCCAGTGAAAGGGAGGAAGATCCTCAATGAGATGGATTGACACTATAGGCTCAAATATGGCCATAATTGTGAGGATGATGCAGGACGGGCAGTTTTGTTCTATTGTACATGCGGTTGTGATGAGTTAGAACTGACTTGAGGGCACACAACAACAATGTAAGCAAGGCACTCTGCTAATTTGTGGAATGCAAAGACAGATCAAAGGTCTCTAAAATTGTGATTGCTTCTGTATAAGAATTAAAAACATAAATTTCTCTCAATAATATTAACTTCTGAATTACAGTGGTTCATTTTGAACACAAACCCAGGGATCAAATTTCAGTCAAACAATAAACAGGACTATCTTGATTATATCATCCCTGAATTTAGAGACAATCTAAAGAACAGAATTGATGCATTGAACACCAGTAACTGAAGACCAGAAAAGCTGTGGGATGACATCAAGAACATCACACATGAGGAAAGCAAAATGTCATTAGAAAGACAAGAAAGGAAGAAAAGACCAAAATGAATGTTAGAAGAGACTGGAACTTGCTCTTCAACAGAGAATAGCTAAAACAAAAGGAAGAAATGTTGAAATAAAATTGCTGAACGGAAGATTTCAAAGGGTGGCTCAAGAAGACCAAGTAAAGTACTATAATGAAATGTGCAAAAACTTGGAGTTAGAAAACCAAAAGGAAAGAACACGCTTGGTATTTCTCAAGCTGAAAGAACTGAAGAAAAAATCCAAGCTTCAAGTTGCAATAGTGAAGAATGCTATGAGCAAAACATTGAATGATGCAGGAAGCTCAAGAACCAATGGTACTGAAGGAAGAAGCCCAAGGTGCACTGAAGGAATTGGCAAAAAAAAAAAGGCTCCAGGAATTGATGGAATACCCATTGAAATGTTTCAAAAAACGGTTGTAGCTTACTGGAGATGCTTACTCCTTTGTGCCAAGAAATCTGGAAGACAGCTACCTAGCCAACTGACTGGAAGAGATATTCGTGCCCATTCCAAAGAAAAGGTGATCCAACAGAATTTGGAAATTATCAAACAATATCATCAAGATCACATGCAAATAATATCTTGCTGAAGATAATCCAAAAATGGATGCAGCAGCACATTGACAGGGAACTTGTAGAAATGCAAACTGGATCAGAAGAGGACATGGAATGAGGGATATCACTGCTGATGAGATGGATCTTGGCTAAAAGCAAAGAATATGAGAAAGTTGTCTACCTCTGTTTTATTGACTATGCAAAGGCATTTGTGTGGATCACAACAAATTGTGGATATAATTGTGAAGAATGGGAATTCCAGAACACTTAATTGTTCCCATGAGGAACCTGTACATAGACCAAGAGCCTGTCATTTGAACAGAACAAGGGGATACTGCATGGTTTAAAATCAGGAAGGCTGTGTGTCAGTGTTGTATCCTTCCACCATACCTATTCAATCCATATGCTGAGCAAATAATATAAGAAGCTGGATTAAATGAAGAACATGGCATGAGGATTGGAGGAAGAATCATTAACAGCCTGTGATATGCACATGGCACAACTTTGCTTGCTGTAAGTAAAGATGACTTAAAACACTTACTGATGAAGATCAAAGACTACAGTGATCAGTACGGATTACACCTCAACATAAACAGAAATCCTCACAACTGGACAAATAAGCAACAACATGATAAATGGAGAAAAGATCAAAGTTGTCAGGGATTTCATTTTACTTGGATCCACAGTCAACATCCATAGAAGGAGCAGTCAGAAAATTAGACATCGTATTGCACTAGGCAAATCTGCTGCAAAAGACCTCTTTTTTAAAGTGTTAAGAAGCAACACTGTCACTTGGAAGACTAAAGTGCGCCTCACCCAAGTCATGGTATTTTCAATAGCCTCATAGCTCTGGTGGCATAGGGCTAAGTCATTTGACTGCTAACCAGAAGGCTAGTGGTTCAAACCCACCAGGCACTCCTCGGAAGGAAAACTGGGCAACCTACTTCTGTAGAGATACTGCCTTGGAAACCCAAGGAGGGGTCGCTATGACTCCATCCGACTTGACAGAAGTGATTTTGGTATTTTGTTTGTTTCTTTGTTTCACATGCATGTGAAATCTGCATGGCGAATAACAAAGACTGAAGAAAGGTTGATCCCTTTGAATTGCAGTGTTAGCGAAGAATACTGAAAATACCATGAACTGCCAGAAGAACCAACAAATCAGTCCTGGAAGTACAGCTGGAATGCTCTTTAAAAGTGAGAATGGCCAGACTTTGTCTCACCTACTTTGGTCATTTGTCAGAATGGACTGTTCCCTGGAGGAGGATATCATGCTTGGTAAAGGGTAAAGTAGAGGGTCAGTGAAGAAGACAACTCTCAATAGATGGACTGACACAGTGGGTGCAATGACGGGCTAACGCATAGCAAGGATTGTGAGGCTGGTGCAGGACCAGGCAGTGTTTCACTGTGGTGTACACTGGGCACCTGACAACAATAAAGTGAGTAGTAACATCAGGAAGAAACATATTCTTCAATACAATCAACTCTATGAGCCCCAAAGACCAGCACATGACCAAAAACATAGCTCAGAAAGCAGGATGGGGAAGGAAAGGACGAATGCAAATGGAAACCCAAGGAGAAAGTGGGAAGAGTGTTGTTACACTGAAGGGATTTCAAGCAATGTCACAAAACAAAATGTGAATAAATTGTTGAATGGAAAACTAATTTGCTCTGCAAGGTTTCACTAAACCACAACAAAAAGTTAAAAAGTGGTTCATTTCACAATAACTTTAGTAAATAAAATAACATAACGTTTTCTCATGTGGCTATAGAATAAAAGCTGAAAAGTTACAAATTAGAAAGATTCAATTTTGCCCAAAATCTTTGGTATAACTTAAAACAAGACTTATTTCTACTTAGAGTTGGCTTAAAAAACAGTACACTGAGCCTATTTTGCTGCATGCCCTGAACTTCCTTAAGTATGTATGTATGTATGCATGCATGTTTCAATCCATTTTCAGCAGTCCCCTATAACAGAGGTGTTAGATTATACATGTCTGAAGTAAACATTTTCTTGATAAGGGAGGAAAATTGAACTATTCATTAATATAAGTGGACACATTTTTCATTAACCTATACCCACACCCCTTTGGAGGAGCCCTGGTGGTACAGTGGTTAAGCGTTTGTTGTTGTTGTTGTTATGTGCCGTCGAGTCGGCCCCGACTCATAGCGACCCCTCCTTGGGTTTCCGAGGCAGTATCACTACGGAAGTAGGATTGCCCAACCTTCCTTCCGAGGAGTGGCTGGTGGGTTTGAACCGCCAGCCGTCTGGTTAGCAGGCAAGTGTCTTAGCCACTATGCTACCAGAGCTCCCGGTTAAGCGTTTAGGTGCTAACAAAAAGGTCAGTGATTTAAACCTACCAGCTGCTCTGTGAGAAAAAGAAGTGTCAGTTTGCTTTTGTAAAGATTTACAGCCTTGGAAATCTGATGGGCCAATTCTGTACTGTCCTATAGGGTTCCTATAGGTTGAAATTGATTGAATGGCAGTGGGCTTTTTGGGTTTATTATTCCCTTCAGATGTATTTCTTCAACCCCCAATTACTTCAATCTTCTACTAATTTCTCATCATTCCCTCTTAGTCTCGTAAGCATATTTTCCTCCAGCATCTTTCTCTATTCAGCATTCAATCTCTTATTGCAATTACAGTAAGGGTAACAAACTCTTCAGTTCACCCGGCCTTAGGTAGAGAAAGAGGTCATGTGGGGCATCTAAATTAGCCTTTTTGGCTCCTACGTAGCCCAGAGTTGCCAGTCAAATTGGACTGCCTGTTAGCTGTTTACCAGAGCTTAACATCAGCCTTAACTGAGCTGTTGTAAAGCAAATGGTTTCCCAAAAGCCTGAATGGTATATGGATTGCATATGGGGAACAGGGCCTTTACACCCTAAAAGAATGCCTTTATAATGATAATTATTTTTTTCCAAGTAAAATATATTAGATTTATTTAATATTAAATGGTTATAGAAAAGAAAAATTATTGTAAATAATCAATAAACTCATAAAGAAAGTGAATATTTATTTGAATTTCTCCTGGTAATAGCACTCAACATGTAAGAAAGATAAACCAAGCTATGAAATTTAGTTTTAAATGTAGCAATTTTTAAAAGGTGAAAAGTTGGTTTCAGTATTTAACAGCAGTAAGTGGGACATCTTCTATTTCAAAACTACTATTGAAAAAGTAGTATTTTAAGACATATATACTATGATTAACATGATATGTCTCATAGAATGGACACACATATCTGAATGCCAATCTGAGTATGGAAGAGAGAGAGAGACATGCTAAAAACCACATTGAAAACCAAATGGTCTTTACATATATATATATATATATATATATATATATATATAAGCTTGAAATATAAAGGAAATTCCTAGTAATGTCAATAAACATTCACACATGGGATTTTAAAAAAATTGCCCCACCATCCCAACCCACACCCACTCCCATCCCACACTCAGAAAAAACAAACCATGTGGTACATTTGAGTAAAGCCATTACATGACTGCCCATTTTTGTACTGGACATATGGAGGCCTGGTTACGCAGTCAGTATTAACTACCTAAAGTGCATTTTTGGAAGACTTTTCTAGTGAGATTGTAATATCAAATATGAAACATTTAACACAAGACATGCAATAACAAAGCTAACATCATTATGGTTAAAACTACTTTTAAGACTTTCAATTCACCAAAGAAGAAAGATTTCAACTACAACAGTATTCTCATGCTCCAATAGTATGCACTGTATGCTCTTGTTATTTGGCAAATCTTTTGGAGTCGAAGCAAAATAATGCAGTCTAAACAATATTTCTTCTGTCATTATAATACAATTTCTCAGGAAGAACAGTTACGTGCAGAGCAAGAGTTAGATTTTTGGAAGTTTTGGTGCATTAATGACAGGATTTGCCTCCTGCAAGTATCTCCTCCCTGCACTCTTGTAATCATAGGTGCAGCCATGAGTTTCTGCATAGCGATGAGATGCACAGAAGTTGTTTCCACATCTAAAGAACAAAAAAGTTTACATGAATTGTCACATGTCTATAAAAGGCCCATTTCTTTGGGAGACAGAGCTTAACTTCAGGAAGTCCAACAGGAGCCCTTTAGTTCTCATAAGCAATTTCAGAGCTGACATTTCCCTTCCACTCATAAACAAGCACAAGCACCCCCCAAAAGAACAAATTAATTATCTATGAACATGACAGTTTATAATAAAAAATCCATCAGGAGGGAAGATCTGTGTAGGAGATACTGCACAGAGTGGGACAACAATGTGTAACAAAACTCACAATTACAAAAAAAATAAAAAGACCAGCCTTGCTGGTCTGATAGACTCTGGTGAAAACCCTGAGACTACGGCCCCTAGCTGCCCTTCAGGCCTGGAATTGAACTCACTCCTGTGGCTTCCAGCCAAATAAAAGAATGGTATATGGGCTGAACATTTATATCAGGTAGATACACTCCTTGGAGAGATCAAACATGGGAGAACAGAAGGGCAGTGTATGCACAGGGAGACAGCTCAAGGGGTAAGACTGCATGAGGGAAGGACACAGGGAAGAGATAACCATGGGGAGGAAGTGGGAGGGGAGCTGTTGCATTGTGATAAATTGCAGTCAATGTCATGAGATAAAATGTGTATGAACTGCTATATGGAAAATGAAATTGCTTTGTAAGCTTTCACCCAAATCACATTAAAAAAAAAATCCACCAGGGAGTTAAACAGGATATAGACTTTTAGGAAGTTGTAAAATTTCAAAAACTGATAAATTTCTCTTACACCTAACAAACCTGGGAAAACTCTAAATTTCTTAGAAATTCAGTCTCATGAGAAAATTACGACATAAAAAGTTTAAAAAAACCCAAACATACATATTTCTAGCAACAAGATAAGCAGTTTTAATTCGAATTGAGTACACTCTAAAGAGCAGCAGTTATTTTCATAGACTGGCCTCAACCTAAGAGCAGATGCCTTCCTTGGAGCAAATCAATCCAATGTTAATGAAAGACATAATTATAAGTAGAAAAAAGTTAGTATCTGTTTAATTATTTCTTAAATATATATTAGTTATCTCTTGATATAAAGAACAATATAATTGTAAATTTTATAGTATATTAACTTTCAATTTAGTCCTTTTGTTTAATTTAAAATAGATTATTAGGGAGGGATTTCCCAAGCTACACGAATACAAAAACCAAATATACCATTAGACAAAGAATGTCTGTCCTCCCACTGGTTTAAATCTCCTAATTTAAAGGGCAAGAAAGGATCTGCTTTCACTTTTTGGAAACTCCTGATACTGTCTACTTGTTCTTTACTTTAGCCAATTAGGAATTCAACTGAGGGCTGCTGTTACAATATCACCTTAATGATGGTATTATAAATAGCCAATTTAAATAGTGGTTTATTTTCTATAATCCCCGAGCTGGGTCACCACACAGAAAGCATTTCCAGCTGGCCAACCTGCCTGCATTCGTAGCTAGTAGCCAGTCCTGTTTTCTTTCCACAAAGAAAACAATGCTTTGTTGTTTTCTTCTTTGTTTGAATAGGGGCTTTCACGGGTGGAAGATGATGAGTGCATTCCCCTGTTTGGAGAAAGGACACTTTGATTAATGCAATCATAAATTCTAAACGTGAAGTACCATGAAGCAAAACACAGTTCCTGTCATAGTAAACTTCTTTGCCATGAAAAATTAATTTGTGTGAAAATGACACAAATTAATTTTTTATAATATCTAAAATTATTTACATAACATGTAAGTAAAGTTGCAATAGTATTTACTGTTATATTTTTAAAGACGTGGTAGGTTTCTACTGATTAGAATATGTACTTCTAGGACTTTTTGCACATACCAACACTTTTCTGATTATTTCTAAGGGAATCAGTTTATGTGGAGTATGCCAAACCTTGAGAAAGATTCAAGAAAAATGTCTAGTTCAAAATCATGATGAGGGCTCTGAGGAACTACATAATGTATAATACAGTTACCAAGAGTGCCAAAGTATCAAGAAACTAGTCTTTTAATCCTGATTACACCACTGAAAGAAAGTAAATTCACTGAACCATGAGAAAGTTATTTATTCTTTGAAAACTTCCATTTGCTCATTTTTTAAGATAAGAGAACATGTATTTTTCTCCCCAGGTTACTAAGTGTTTTAAGTAAAATCAGTTCATATACGTAAAAGTACTCTAAAAATTTAAAGTGTTATAATAACAAAAAATACATTATCAATAGTGATTTGCTATGACACACAGCTCCATTTCACAGTACTACTAGCTTCTCAAAAAATATTTACTAAATCTGTACCACTGTAACAATTTGATTTTTTTTTGCCTTTAAGAGCACATCTGATACAATAAAAGAAATAATGAATCCAGTTTAATTACTAAATGAAATAAATGGCTTTTAGGACTTACCAAAATTCCAAAAAACCCAATCAAGCAGAGAGGCTCAAAGTCACCCTCTTAGTTATCAAAGTACATAGTTGTTATAATAACAGAACAAGTAGACAAGCGCTTGGTGGCACCCAAAGGCCAAGAAGTGAGTGCCAAACAAACAAGAAAAAAAAAGGAAGAAAAATGGTAGTGTGTCTACATTGCTGGTGCCTCTTCTCCACTACTGAGAAAGATTTGGGTGGCCTAGGCTTAATGTTTGTTTGGCAGTTAGAAGTCTACGAATTTTTTTTTCCAAGGTTCAAAAAAAATTGGATTTACAGGTAATTGGTGCTTTGCCTTTTGCCACAACCCAGACTGGATGCTGAAGGGTACACAAGTCTGACAAAATTAAGACTGCTTTAACAATCTAAAATATACTCCCAGATCTTCCACAAAACTGGTAAAATACGATACAACTAACTGAATGACTCCTAATGGTTAACAGCGCACTAAGTTACTTAATAAAATTTTTCTTCCTCAATTGCACTTAGAAGAACCAAGAACATTTCACAAAGATGATGGGGGTACTTCCCATTCCTTAAAAGAACTAAAACTAAGATAAGTATTTGTTCAGAACGCTGGGGGACGGCATAAACTACCTCCTTTGGAAGCTCTTCTAATTTCAAGTATCTTTGAAATTCATGCTTAGGATATTCTTACTTAAAGAATGGTGGAAGAATCTGTTGATAATTTAGTTCAGTGTAGCCACATTTTTACTTTTTCTTTCCTTTAGGGATGCTTAACTTAATGTTTCCTAAACTTTTTCATTTAAGAACACAGAATGAGGCGGCACAAAAACATGACTGCAATCTTTTCCTCATGAGAACAGTCTCTGTATATTCTTCTACCCATTCAGAGAAAATGATATACTAGTTGTTCTGGTTACCTAGTGCTGCTCTGACAGGAATATACCACAAATGGGATGGCCTTAACAAAAAGGAGTTTATTCTTACAATTTTTGAGGCTTTAAGTCCAAGTTCAAAGTGCCAAGCTCTAAGGGCTGGGTGAAAGCCCCTCAACCTTGGGGCCCAGCTCTGCCTCCTGTTCCCAGCCCACTGGAACTAGAGGCTTTTCTTCACTCAGACAGCTGCTGGACACTGAGACTGACAAGCCCAAGGTTGACAAGTAAAATGGCACAGTCCCAATGTTACCAAACCACACAAAACGCCATTAATTCAAGTCCATTGAAAGTCCCAAGGTCGGCAGAGCATGGCAGGCTGCTGAACAATGACACGGCTATATACAGGGTTCAAGTGTGCCATAAACTGGAGACCGTTCCCCAAGACTTCTCCTTACATGCAGAAAGCAGACCACATACCCAAAGGCTCATAGTAGATTCCACCACGGAGTTGATTACCAGTCTTATTATGGGACATACTACATCCAGCTGCCCAGCCACTCAACCAGGCCCACCCAAGTTGACACACAAACTTAACTACCACACTAGTCATCCATCCAAGCTAAGAACTTTTCTCACCAACATTAACATATAGGTTTCCTACTATCAATAGGAAAAATCCAAATTCTTTGGACTGGCTTTCAAGGTCTTACATGTCAAATACGATACCTTTCTAACTTTACAGTCATTTCTTGCCATTTACTACATCACCAAACTAAAAATAAATAAATAAATAATCAAACCACTGCCATTGAGTCAACTCCAGCTCAGAGCTGTAGATAGAGAATTGTCCCACAGGGTTTCCATGACTAACAATCTTTACAGAAGCAGACTGCCTCATCTTTCTCCCATGGAGTAGCTGGTGGGTTCAAACTGCCGGCCTTTTGGTTAGCAGCCAAATGTCTTGGCCAGTGCACCACCAAAGCTCCATTACCACATCACATCCATCCTAAATGATGCACTAGGCCTATTTACCTCTGAAATATCTTCTTCTAACATGTCTTCACTTTGTCAACCTGGTAAAATTCTACTTATCCTGTAATACATCTTCAATTATCAACAGCTCTCTGAAGCTTTCTCTCAACTGCCTATCAAACATATGAGGAAACAAAAAGTTAATTAAAAATTTCTGGTGTAAAATTGCTTTTCAGAACAGGATGAAAGGGGGTTCCAGTAAGATGGTGGAACAGGCAGACAAACTACACAGACCTTCCTCAACAAAGAAAAGGGGAACCAATTAACACAGATACAGAAGATAATCCTGGAGCTCAGAGCTTTGAACAGAAGAATACAGAAGTGGACTAAACTGCAACTAGTAGAAGAACTTTCAAGAAACCGCAAAAAAGGAGACATACAGACCTGAAGTCTATCAGTGATCTTGGTAGCATGGACAGCTTAGATATTGCCGAGTGGCGTCAGGACCTAAGTTTTAACCTAAAAATCAGCCCTACTAGCCAGGGACTGCATGGAGGACTGCACGGGTAGTTGGTGAATAAAAGAGGAAGCACAGGCTGAGCTGTGGATTTTAGCTGTCTGTGATGGTTATGTTTGTGTGTCAACTTGGCTGGGCCTGGTTGAGTGGTGGGGCAGCTGGTGGTAGTTATTCCCTATGATGAGACTAGCAATCAACTCTATGGTGGGATCTACCACAAGCAGCTGAGTAGCTGCCTTTGGGAATGTGGTCTGCTTCCAGTATTTAAGGAGAAGCCTTGGAAATGGTCTCTAGCATATGGCATGCTTGGACTCTGCTTGTAGCTGTGTCATTGCTCAGCAGCCTTCTATGCTCTGCTGACTTTGGGACTTACAATGAACTGTGTGGTTTGGTAACATCAGGACTGTGCCTTTTTCCTTGTCAACCTTGGGGCTTCTCAGCCTCAGCAGCCAGCAGCTGTCTGAGTGAAGAAACACCTCTAGCTTCAGTGGGCTGGGAGCAGGAGGCGGAACTGGACCCCAAGGTTGAGGGGCTTTCACCCAGCCCCTAGAACCTGGCACTATGAACCTGGACTTAAAGCTTCCAAATTGTAAGAATAAACTCCTGTTTGTAAAGGCCATCCCATTTGTGGTATATTTCTCATCAGAATGGCACTAGGTAACCAGAACACTGTCCCAAGGGTGCTGCCATTTTGAATGTTTACAAACTGTTCGACCATTGTGGATATTTAAAGCGACAGTGTTCTCTCAGATGCCAGTAACCTAAGAATAGGCTCCATTTGCTGGGGACCACAAGGACATTCCAGACACGATGGACTGAAAAGGTACAATTCTCCCCTTGTTACTCTTATACCACACACCCTCTTGGTGAATGGAGGAGTGGCCGTATCTCACTTCTACCCACTTTCTGGGCTGACAGGAATACCATCCCAGTATGTGTGCTCTGATAAAGCCTGGGTGCCCTGCCCTGCCCAGATTTTTTTTCCTTTTATTTTAGTTGGTTTTGTCTGTTTTAAAATTATTATTATTGTCCTTTTTATTATTATTCTTTATTCTTTCCTTCCTTCCCAGGTTCTACTTTTCAGCTTTTTTTCTCTTCCCTATTCCTAGTTCCTAGTTTTTTTCTTTCTAATGGTTAACTCAATTCCTTGTTTTCCCTTTTGCATTTTTTCCACTTTTTTCTTCATAACTGTCCTACTCTACCTCTTTTCTCTTATTGCCCCCTCCCCATATATTAAGGGCTTTACTTTCTTTTATGTATTATTTTTTTTAAATGACTGTTCCTGTGTGTTTATGCAATGTGTTTTTGTCCACTTCCTTTTACTTTTTTCATTTTTTTTTTTTTTTACTGTTTTTGTCTAACTGAATGGGAGACAGCAACCATGCCCATAAAACGCAACTATACCCGCACATCCTGCAGCACTGCTTACTGAACGAGAGCCACCACTTCATTCTCCACCAACTGGCCAATAATAAACAACCACCCAAAGAGCCTGACTCATGCTTCACTGCTCTTCAGAAACAGTTAACAGAAATCTAAATACAACAACATCACAATGTCTTGGAGACAACAGACTATCACAGTCCACACAAAGAAGCAAGATAAAGCAGTAGAAACAAGGGAGCAGGAACACATCCCTGAGGAAGAAGCAGCATTGGAACTCCTGGACAAGGAATTCAAAAGAATTGTATTTGGGTATCTTCAGAGGATGTAGAGACAGATCAAGGAAAACACTGACAAAATTAAGGAAAACAGACAAAATCCTAGAAAAATTTTGGAAAAAAATACCAAGAACAAAATGACAAAATAAATGAAAAGT